TATATATATATATATATAGGTGTTACATGCGTAAATAAATAAAAATTAAGTGGTATCCATGTAATACAAATGGTATATAAGAATATTCTGATTAAAAAAAAAAGTTATCTTTTCCCAATATTCTGCTTACCCATGACTTGTGATAAAGCTCCCCATCTCTTGGATCATTCTATCGCCGTCGGCGATGTCCGGGAAAACGTAGAAGGCATGGATGGCCTCCGGGAACTCCAGCAGCCGCACCTCCCTTCCCCTCGCCCTCAACGCCTCACAGTACCTCCGCTGCCAGTCCTGAAGCGGATCGTGCCCGCCAACAACCACCATCGCCGGCGGGAACCCTTCCTCGAGCTCCCCTGTCGCCTTCGGCCCGAAAACATTCGCCGCCTCATGGTCCCGATCAGCTCCCGCCGGCAAGAACGCCCTCCAAAGCCAATCCGTTCTCTCCGTTGAGACTAGCGGCGCTCTGGCGAGCCGAATCTCAGATCCCGTCCTCTCCTCCCCGCCGAAAAAGGGCTGGATCAGGACTATACCTGATACTTTCAGCTGTAGCATTATGGGGTTAGTCCAGAAAATTACTGCAAGGAATCTCGAAACAAATGTTTTTATTTTTAAAATGTCCCAGTTTTCAATGTAAATTTATGATTTGGATTTGTAATTACAGGAATTTTAATTTTAGCAGATATTTAATTTATTTGAGATGAGTATATGATTTATTTGATTTTTATAACCATTATTAAGAATTTAATAAGTTTTCGTTCGGTCATTCATTTATGTCATAAAATGTTTTTATTCTCTTGAAATAAAGATATCAAAACTATTAAAATATTATTATTAAATAAAAGGTTTAAATTATAATTGAAATTGTTATAAATATTATTATTTTAAATTGATAATTTTTTTTATTATACATTTTAGAATAAATCTTTAATATCATTATTAAGAATTTAATAAATGTTTTCAATTAATGTTCAGCCATTCATCTATCTGGGAAGAAGATGATTTTTTCTCTTGATTCAAACAAATTAAAATTATTAAAGTATTATTATCAAATAAAAATTTAAATTATCATTGAAATTATTATAAATAATAATAATATTATTTTTTTAAAACTGCTAAATTTTTTATTATAATCTTTAGAATAATAATTTAACTATTGATATTTAAAGGAAAAAAAATAATTAAAATTATACTTAATTTTGGAAAAATATACACATATTAGTTTAATTTACTATAAACAACATATTAAATAAGTAATAATAAAATTATTTCAGAATTTGAAATAATTTAATGAGTAATTGATACTAAATTTAATATTACTAATGTTGAAAAATTAATTTGTTTTATATTTATTTTCTTTCAAAAAGAAACTAGAATTTAAGAAATATGTTAAAATATCTTAAATTAGCCTTTATTAGATCCACAAAATTATATGTAAATTTTAAAAAAAGGAATTTCAATGAAGGAAAGCCCAATAGCCTAACCTTTTTCCATCCTACCCCTGCGGCGGCCCACCGCCGGGCGACATGGTGGGCGATGTTTGCGCCGGCACTGTCACCGGCAAGAAAACAGGACGATGGGTTAACCAGATCTTCACCCACAGCGTCGATTGCGCCCGAATCGACAAATCTGAGGACGTCGATCCCATCTTCGTAGGGGGCGGGGTAAGTGTGCTCGGGGGCGAGCCGATAGTTGACAGAGGCAACGACGACCGGAATCGCTTTGGCGATGCGGCGGCAAGCGAGGTCGTAGGCAGGGTTGTCGGGGGAGAGGTAAGCGAACCCACCGCCGTGGAAGAAGACGATGAGGGAAAGTGGTTGAGGGCGGCGGACGACGTCGGGGATGAAGAGGCGAATCCAAAGCTTGTGAGAGGGTTTGACGGTGAGATCGACTGTACGGACGCCGCGGTGGGAGACGGGGTTGGGAGAGGTGCGGAGGTCGAGGAAGGAGAGGAGGCGGCGGTTGATTGTTCCGTTGGAGCGGCGGGTGGCGTCTAGGACTGCGGACAGGAAGGAGACGGCTAGCCGAACCTTTAGCGGTTGTTTTTTTGGGGATTTCACTGCCGCCGACGATCTGGCCCCGTCAGACATTCTCTCGAATTCTAAAAGTCCGGGGACCAAACTTAGGAATTTTTTTAATTTGCAACGTAAAAGATAAGAGAGACCTTCACCTAATTCCACACAGGCTGATAAATGCAGGACGGGTTGCTCACGAACTCCCAACAAACTCAGGTGGTGTCCAGCTCATGAAGTTCATTTAGAGAGATAAACACACTTTGTTTAAAATTTATTCAACGGAAGGACATAAATGATTGCTTGGATACTGCTGCTATTTATTCAGATAATTTAATTAATACTTGTATAAAATTTTAAAATAATTGTCAAGTTATCAAGTTTTTACATACCACATTCCACGTTAATTTTTTACTTCGAATGCAATGTAAAACGATTCGTATAATTCTCTCAACATAAATTTACATAGAGTTTTAGAATATTCAATCCCTATACTTATTTAGCAATTAATGAAAACTTGAGTAGCTTAGCAAACATACTGAGTTGAGCTTTCCTTTATGATTAGCTGATTAGCTCCAAATGCTAAAGAGAGAAACATGAAAAGTCTATACCAACACTCTCTATTTTTGCCAAACTCGCTATCCCAATGTTGAAGTTAACGAAGGGTAAAATTTTCGGCCTATAGTAAGAAAACACAACTTAAATTTAATATCGGATCATTTATCTCTAAAATCAATCATGATAAAGAAAACACAGTATCTGTCAGCTAACAGACTCGTGCAAAATTTTTGCGAGTAATTTGTGTATTGATTTATTTATTTTTTTTTTCTGAGCTTTGCATAATTTCACCCATTCGTTGATAACCAAGTCATAAAACAAAGCGGAAGAACATTTTGGGTCTGGAACAATTAAGCCAGTTAGCAGCATAAAAGCCATGGCAGAAAATTTGAGTAAATTGATGGCGGGCCTAAATAGAATATTTGATTGCCATTTAAGGAACTTAATCCTCTTCGTAACTTTGGCTTTTACATTGTGGTTGAAAACATAATTGAGTGCAGGTCGTGCTACGTGGTTGATCAATCCAAGATTAAGTCATATGCCTATCTAAGATTAAGTCATGTATACATAAGAAACTAGAAATAAGTCGTTACATTAGATAAAGAGAAAGAAAAGCATAAATGAAACTAATTAAAAAATGCACATGGCAAAATTATCCAATCAATTACATGTTAATAATTATATGGTAAGGTCCTAACCTAGATCAATGCTTAATTGCACGCCTTCACCTAGAATTTCCCATAAATACAGCACTAATGCAAAAAAGATAACTTATTCACCACACTGAAGCCTTTATATAACTTGGAGAAAACCTTTCTGATCACCTTAGTATGAGCTAAGACACCACTTCTAAGCATCCTCTTATGTAACACTTAATAGCTACAAAATATAATAATAAAAAAAATATAAAGTATAAATGAAACAATCTTTAGAGGCCATATTATGTGTAAAACAGCTAGCTCAACAGCAAGGATGAAATGAACGAAAGTGGTGATGCAAGCTTTTTCTTTCTTTCAAAAATGAAAGCGACATATTAGAGTGGAAAACAACTAGCTCAACAGCAGGTATGAAGCGAACGAAAGTGGTGATGTAAGCTTTTTCTTTGTTTAAAATAAAACGTATTAGAGTTTTTATAATAGTAGAATTCAAGTTGGTTGGTTGCAATGGAAGAAGGCTTTGGGCCTTTTGTGTGAGAAGAGTACCACTTAGACTGAAAGGAAAATTTTACAAGAGGGTGGTGAAACCTGCAATGCTCTATGGCGCTAAATGATAGCTTTTAAAAGAGAAGCATAATACTAAGTTAAGTGTTGCCGAGATGAAAATGATTAAGTAGAAGAGTGGCTTTACACTTGGAGTCAAAATGTGAATTGAATATAACCGTCATAGGGTTGTTGTAGCTTCAGTGACGGACAAAATTAGAGAGTCATCTTAGATGATTTGGTCACAATAAACGCCGATCATCTGATGATCCGATTGGGAGAGAAGATGTTTTAGATTCAACTTATGTTAAAAAATGCAGAGATAGACCTAGGAAGACTTGGGCTTATTGTATAAAAAAAATCTTAATTTATTAGAATTAAATGAAAATATGACACTAAATAGGATGCAATGGAGAAAAAGGATTCATGTAGCCGACAACGATTAGTGGGATTAAGGTTTTGTTGTTGTTGTTGTATCCTACTGCCAACATTCAATGTCACTTAATTTTTTGATTTAATTGAACTCCACACGGCTAAGGGCTGAAAAATAAAATATTGCCACAAAAGGCTTTGCAGATGCTTCTTATTTATGTGGAAACCCACAGAAGTTAGCAAATGCCACTATAATTAATTTCCAAGAGCCTGAATCTTTGATTCTTTGTGGAGCGGGTTTAAAGACTGTGGCTTCAAGTAATTTTGCGAATGCTCCTAAAATGTAAAGAGACTCATCAAATTTAGTCCTAAAAAAAGAAACTATCCAACTTTAAAAAATTCAATCTAATTTATTATTAGTAAGAGACATTTCAAAAATAACATAGCTTTTAAATTATCTAATTTAAGCATACTATTTTCCTTATCATTGATAAGGAAAATTTGCAGCAATGGCCATCAATCTTCTATCAGATGCCATGATCCAACTGAAAAAAATATACAATCACCCTTTTTCTTCAGGAGAGACAAAATTATGTGATGGCTTAAAAAAAAAGGAAAATTATGATATTTCCACACTAGATCAAAGCAAATAAGAGAAACACAGAAAAATAAATAAATAAAATCATCCGTATAAAAGTCAAACTAAATAGAACACATGAAATAAAAAAAAAGTATTAAAAAGAAGGCAACTACCAAATTAAAGAGTAGAAAATTAAATTAGTTTTACTGCTGATTGACATAGATGCTGTAATGTTTTTCATGTAATAAGAATATAGAGCACATTACAACAATTAAGAGTACAGGAATCATTCACAATGTTATCATGCTGGGTAACTGAAGAGTAATACAAATAGATCGAACACTGAAAACCCCTAACAAAAGAGCAAACACTAAAAGGCAAACCTGAGTTAGGGTCAACTGCCAGCGAACTATCTTCACAAGCCACATGACCAACCTACAAAAGCTAGTAGGATGGATAGGCTATCGAGTTATGTGTGCCAACACGTGCAGCACCATTTATCACAGATCCCATAACTCGCCTGCTATATTCAAAGTTTCCATTACCAAAATCCCTAGCCGCTGAGTTCCCTGAAGCGGCTGACATATTTTAAAAAAGAACAAAGAATAAGAAAACATAAATTAAAAGGGGCATTTACAGACATACCACTCAATTATTAAACTTTAATTTTTACATTTAAGCCACCCAAATCTTTCGTATCACATAAAAAATACCACCATTTTAACTTCTAAAGGTGAAATGCACATTTTCATGCAAAAGTAAGGTGGCATCCATGTAAAAAATTAAAGTTTAGCCATTAGACATGTAAATACATAGGAATCAAGCGGTGAGTATGTAAATCATCCAAAACAAAAGACATTAAAGTGAAAGACATTGCTCCCATCTTACAGTGGTGGTATGCACGATCAATCGAATGTTTCTCTGCTGCATCCTTAAGGATAACTGATGAGGGCAACGATTCTTCAGAGTAATCCCCACACAATGCGCCTACAGGGGGTTGCCTCCGCATGGGAGGAGAATTTGGTTTGTTTGCAGGACTGGGAGAGTTGTAGGAGGGCTTGTCCTGCCCCGCCATCTGTAAGAAAGAAAAAAAAATACAGATGGTTTCAGATCAAAAGTAAGGCAAAGAGAGGGTGAAAGAGAGAAAGGGAAAGCCTAAACCCTAAACCCTAAACCCTAAACAAAGCGTCAACGTAAGATAATTTAAACCAATGATTGTGAATAAATACCTAACATTGCTCACGCTCAACAAGGTAACGCTTGTCTAAGGAATATTTGTGTCGGAGGGAATATTTACAAGTTAATGAAACAAGATAATAGTGATTAATAGCTTTACATACAATAAATGCTGGCAGGGCATTTCACGATTCTTTGCATAGCAAAAGCTATTAAAGTTGTCGAACCTATATAAGCATTTAGCTACAATTAAGGCTTCATTATACATTGTTTTGATGATGATGTGCTTCCATTGAGTTGTATGAAATACAATTATTATATTCTGATAAAACATAGAGCCATTTGCAACAAATCCCAATAATTTGGAAGACATGCCTCAATTTTGAAAACTGATATCACTAATAACATTTGTTAAGCAGACCTCATAATACTATTAGAATAGCAAGCCAAACGCCAGCAGTAATACTAAAATTTTCTAAATTATATATATATA